TTTTTTTTTTTTTTTTTCGAGAGAGAGAGAGAGAGAGAGCAGAGGAGCAGAGAGCGCACGCAAACTTTGGGAAGACAAGTCGGCTTTGGCTTTTATTTACCCCAAGCACATTAAAACAAAGCCTGGGAAAGCTTTCCTTGGACTCCTCCACTAGAATACGAGCTTCAGTGTCATAGTTTCTTCACTAAATTGGTACTCCGGGGGGAAAATTATACGCTGATCGCAGACTTTCTCATACCACGGGCTCTGATTTCCCTGAGGGCTCCACAGCGAAAATTCCGCTCCTTCATTTTTTCCCCCCTAAATGCACAATGGGAAAGCAACTTTCCTTTCCAAATCTAGGTAAGGATTTTTCTGTGCGGGTGCACCACGTTTTAGAGGCGCTGGCAGCAAGGCAGCCGATTTCCCTTCACTGTAACTCCTATCTTGGTCATTTTTCTTTGTACACCACTTTGAGTTGCCTGGAGGTGAGAGCAACTCTCTATGTAGTTTTCCTTAACATTATCGCTGATGCACCTGGGACGATTTCTAAATCTTTCAGGCATCGATGAGGGGAGAAAAAGGAAAGAAAGAAGAAAAGAAAAGGAAAAGGAAAAAAGGAAAAGAAAAATACTCATGTGGGACAGATTTATGTTGAATTATTTTCTTCTTGCCTCAAACTGAGCTAAAGAATGTCTTTCTTCTTTGCTGTCACCTAGCCCGTAATTTTTGTTCGCAGGACATGTGGATAACAAAAAAGTGATTTAATAATAAAATTCCGCAGTTGATGAATTTATTTTAGCTGTATTTTCCCTGGCCTGGAGAAGTAGTGCTTGACTTTGAACCTTATTAGATGCACATGTATGTGTTTTCTAGGTGCTTGGGCACAAACAGACACAGCAGTATTTTCAGGGAACAGTTATCTTCATGCGTTTGGGGCAGAAACCCTTCTTTTTGAGAGTTTGGCTCGAAGCTATACCAATTATCTTGGCTTTTTAACAAACGGCGAAAACTTTAAGTTCTCCAGTTGCAAACAGAAGTTCACCTGCAGGATTTTGTTCAGCTTGAAGTTTCTGTGCATTTTTAAAGGGGAGAGCGACAATAAAGCAAAGTGTTGTTTTAAAGGGTAGAAATGTTCGAGGGTAGAAAACTGCTTTAAAAGCAGGAGTTAAAGTATTGGAGTTATTAAAATCAGACAGAACTTGCATTTTTGCAAAGCAGAGCAGAACTGGACACCGCAAGAGGATAATTTATTTTCCCATGGACTCTGAGATTAATCTGCTTCTCTCTTCCTTTCTAGTGCTGGAATAAAATTAAAGAAATAAACATCCCGTTTCTCCCAGGATCTCTCGTTAGCCCCAGTACACTGCCACTGAGAAAGGGAAGGGTAATCAGACGAACCTATGCTTGTCTTCATAAGACGAAAATTCAGCTTCTGTCTTTGCGGAGCCCTGCTTGTAGATGCAGAAAGAACCGCTCCCTTCAGAAATATCCATATAAAATATTCTCCGGATGCAGCATTATCTTGGAGCAATCTGCTAGCCTATAGCCGCAGTGAAGAGGAGAAGAAGGAATTTACAAATCACTATTATTTTATACTACTTCATTTTCCCCCTCCTTTCCCTAATTAAAAAAAAAAAAAAAGGAATCCTGAAAATGTGACGGGCTATTCCAGTCATTGTGTGTAAGCGATACACACATTTAGTCCAGTCTTTCTCTCGCCTTCTCTATAAAGGCATATGCAGAGTCAGGATTATTATATTTAAAGAGTGAAAGAGCTTAGAAATGCTTAACAAGAAAAAGAAAAACTCCAAACCCAACCTAATGAATGCAACGGGTCTCACATCTGTTATTATTTCTAATCGCTCATTCTCCTCTTCCTTTTTTTTTTTTTTATTTATGGGTACCACTCTCCTAAGTACTTCCACATTTTGGGAAACGTAAACATCCGTGAGCTGTTTTGGGTTAATTAACTCGCTCACAAGTCCTCCAGCTCTCAATGCCTGGCTCGCTATGGGAGAAAAAAAAAATCGGTTTAAATGAGATGCTGCCGAGTAATTTAGAGAATGAAATGGAGTTTCGAGGCTGAGGGAGAGGACTGAGGGGGACCCGGTTTACCCTGGGTTATCGAGGAGGCTCTTCCCAGCCAGGGACCCCTTCTTGTCCCCAGGAAATTGCAGCCACCGCGGCTAAAATGTGTTTTTCTTCTCTCTTGCCTCGAAAGAAGGGTTTTTCTTCTTATTTTGCCTCCCCTTCCCCAACTCGCTTCCCAGAATTTTCGCTCTGCAACATGCAATTGTAAAATGGATGTTTAATTAAATCTATATTTCGCTGGAATAAGAATTGTAAAAGTCCTTACATAATCATGAAAAGGAGCGTGCTATTGTTTTTGTTTATTGCTTTGTCTGCTTTACTGAAGGAGGTATACCTTAAGCCCTTAATGTTCAGAAAGCAAATCTTTCCGTGTTTGACGCCAATTCTGTGCATTATTCAGTTCCCTCCATTATACCAGACGTATCACGCCTCCATTATGCTTATCATAAATCTTTACATTTTCACACTGATCTTCCCTCCACATTTCACGGCTAGGACATAGGCTACCGAATGTGAACTACTTCATAAATCTAAACTTAAGGATCACCTGTTAAAAAATCAAAATCTCACAGCGAGGTGAGGGAAGGGGGTCTTCGCTAGGAAACTGGGGGCTTCGCCCTCCCGCAACTCCAGCTCTCTTTTCAGACACCCATCTTTAACTTGCTTATCTTTTCTTGCTCTATTTTTTTCCATCCTCCTCTCTGTATTTCTGGGGAAATATTTCTCCTCGGTGATTTCTGGCTGGAATCAAACCGCTTGCAGGAATCCAAAGAGCTCGGGATGCGGCGGGTGGCGAGGGCAGAGGCTGTATATATATATATATATGTATATATATATGCACATACACACACACACATATATTTTATA